CCAGGAATGGGAAGGCATCTGTAGGCAGTTTGATATGACTATGGTCGTACCACCCTACTCAGTTCTGTGGCTGCCACTCCACCTCCTCCTGCTACACTGACAGGTCAGCTTGAAGGTCGTTATCATTCTTTCTCTTCTGCTAGATAACCATCTTACCTCTCACCTGGTTTCCCTGCCCATATCTGTGCTTTCTTCTTTCTCTCTCACCATAAACTACTGTATAGATTTTCTGATAATTCAAACTTGCATTGTTTTTTAAAAATGCATATTGCTTCATACTGCTCTCTACAATTTGACCCTGTGGTATAGGAAGGTTATGTGTAGTATTATTCCTGGTTCTTGCCACAGAACTAAAATTCTTGGCAATTTCTGAATGATAAAAGATGAGACTAGAGATAGAGTAGATGGCCAATGATTTAGCCATCGTGACTATACAACAGAAGCTCTTTAAAGACCACCAAACCTGGAAGCAATGGGGTTCAGAAGCTTCAGTTGAACCCATTCATGTGCCAGGAGAGTGATGTGCCTCAACTCGAGAGAGACAGCATGTACATTTTACCCTCTAGACCTTGCCCTGTGTTTGTGTCCTTTATAACAAACACCATGAAAGTAAACATTCATTTTCCTGAACTCTGTGAGTCATAACAAGTTTTTGAAACTTGGATGGACTATGGGAATTCCTACCTAACCTGAGGACCCAATGCTTACAACTGGTGCCTGAAATTAGGGCAATCTTATAGAACCGAGCCAATAAATGCGGGAAGTTTGATGCTAATTCTGGATAGAGTTAGAATTAGTTGGTTTCAAAGAGTTGGAGAAACAGTGATGGAAAGAACAATGTGCCTCGGGTTTTGGAGGCAGAAAAAAAAAACAACAAAAAAATCCCTCAAAACAGACCCCTACCAAACTTTACTCCATTCTAATTTCATCATAAATTACATCACTTTCAGTCACATTAGTTTGTTACTAGAATGACTTGCATGGCCCACACCCATGCTATACCCTCCCTTCTCGTCCCACCACACAGAGTTCTTCAAGGGCAAGCTTTCAGATTGCCATCAGAATCTGTCTCTCTCACATAATTTCCTTCATAGAATCGGCATTAGCCCCAGCACCTCTCAGCTGCTTCTGTTGCAGTAGCCTAGGAAAGCATGAAGTCTTCCCCACCGAAGTTCACAGACAAGTGGGGGACAGTCTGCAAAACACTTGACCAGTCAGTAGTTCTCAGAACTGTCAAGGTCATCTCAGATGAGGATGCAGAGATGCCCAGAGGAGCTGAAGTGCACCTGGAAGCCTAGATGAACTTCCCACTCTCAGAAAAGGCTGTTGGGCTAAAACAGGAAATCTGAATAAAATGGGTAAACATGAAAAATTCAATATGGTGTATTACACGAATAGAACGTGTACACAGGGAAAAATGAGCTCTTCATGAACAATCTAGAAACTTCTTACCAGGTTTAATTCACATGTAAATCACTGACCAGTAAACCCTTAAATGGTTACATGTCCTTAGCTCTTAAATTTATCTTTGCTTTTAAAGGATGTAAAACAATAAGCCTTTAAAGACAAGATTTTAATAATTTAGCAGGGATTACCCTGCCTTTTCTCTTAAGTTAGTAAAACATGTATGTTTGTAAACAATAAATAGTATTAAAAATATGACTTCTGGAGACAAATTGTCTTTCTAAAAGAGATACTTTTAAAATACTTTTGTATACTTATATGCAATGTTTTATGAATATAAATCTACTAGCTGAAAATTTTTGCATTTGTCTCTATTTTTGAAGGAAAGACAAGATTAAGACAGTTCTTATTTTTATTTTTGAGACAGGTTCTCACTATATCTTTCTCGGAGGCATTATGGAGACTATGCTGGCCTGGAACTCACAGATTCTCCTTCCTCTGCCTCTGCCTCCTGAGTGCTGGGATTAAAGGCATTCAACACCTCATGTGGCTTTATGAAGAATTTACAATTATCATGCATCATAAAGACAAAACTGTTATCAACTGTGGATGTAAGAAGTGTCCAATTACATAAATATTAAAATGTGAACATTGTTTTAGAAAAATAATTTTAGTATTGTATATGCAACTGGTAAAATATCTGATTAGTATACAAAGAGGATGCACGTCCTCCACATGTTAAAGTAAAAAGGCCAATAGCCCCAGAAGAAAAAATGCATTTTGTCCTACAATGAAAACTAAAAAATAACCCCTAGCATGATTATTACATAGCTTTACATATGTTAGCTTTATGTCACATAAACTATAAAAATTCATGTTGAATTCAACTCTCATGTTAATTTTTAAAGCCAAAAAAAAGCAAACCTGCACAGTTCTGAGGCTGGGGCTGTGGCTTAGGGGAAGAGCCTTTGGGAAGCACGCATGAAGCCCGACCAAGACCCAGCACTGAAAAATATAAGCTGTTAAATTAACATATTAATTATATGTGCATAACCTCAAACCTCAAAAAAATGTCTATTTATTAAGAAAAGTAGTTTTAAAAGCCTGAGTTTTCACAAATGTTAAATTGCTTCAATAGATGAAAAAGTGTCATTTGTAAATAAGTTTTCTTTGTAAATAAGTTCCAGAAGACCAAAACATTCTGAAATGCAGGAAAGCATAGCTATCATTTTTGGTGGTCTAGAACAAACATCGATGTCCCAAGGTTTGCTGTTAAGATACCCTCGAGATCGAAGATGTGGAGGAACTTCACAGGTTAACAGGAATGAATTTCACACTCAATTTTCCTCTTGCAACTTTTTAAAAATGAGCATCCCAAAATCTAATTCATTTTTTCAGTATCACTGGGCCCTGCCAAGTACTACAGCATCATCCTGAGACTGAATTAGGAAACAGTAAACACTCCCAACAAAACATGCTTGATGGCTTAACATTTTCACGGCTTGGATTGAGTTTTGTTTTTTGTTATCTAAAAAAGCATGTGCTTTTGTAAATAGTAACAAGAGCCACAATATTTGGATGCTGCTGCTAAAGCACATCAAGAGTATATGTCTTCCTGTTTCAAACTAGGGCATGAATAAGGGACATGCAGTTTACAGTTTAGGATAAAACCCAAGATTGAGCCATTCTGTTCCCTTGAAGAAATCTGAGAAGTTATTAGCAAAGAGCCCCTGTGAAGGATGCAAACCAGGGTTCCAATGTGGGTTGTTCCTGCACCAAGCTTCAGCCTCCTGGTCTCCAGGAAAACCATCAGCCTCAGGACTCACCTGTGCAGAATCCCACTTCCTCAAGATTACAGGCAGGTGTTTTATAGTTCAAGGAAGGTGTGTTAATAATAAGAATTTTGTTGAAGTGGATTCTTAGATGTTTTCTGGAAAAGGCATTCTAGAACCCAAAGCCTCAGATCAAAAGGCAGAATTCCAAATCTATACAGCCTCGCAAAAGAAAACAGTATCAGTGTAAGCTCCAAAATCTCCTCCAAACAAAACACAAGGAGTCTCGTCATGAATGCTGGGCCTGACGGTGAGAACCAGAGCCTCCCTTGACATCTTTTCAGCTCTGGCACCAATTCTGTTCCTTTCCTTTGATGAAATGCACTGTTCTGCTTCCTGCTCTTACCTACTGTAAAGGTCTTTTTTTTTTTTTTTTTTTTTTTTTTTTTTTTTTTTGAAGCAGGGTCTCCCTGTAGCCCCAACTGTCCTGGAACTCACTATGTAGACCAGGCTGGCCTCGAACTCACAGAGATCCACCTGCCTCTGCCTCCCAAGTG